TTATTGTAACTGTTCTACTAACTTGTTTTGAAACTGTCTCATTGCTTTGTTTCTCAATAAAATTAATGAAAAAAGAAAAGAAAAAAATAAAATGAAATAAAAATAAAAAAAGAAATAGCAAAGAGATAATTTCAAAACAGTTTAGTAGGATAGTTACAATAATTAATACATTGCATATTGGTGTCTTCATAACAGTTATTCATAGTTCAAGGTGCACCCATGATATCTTGTCTAAACACTGTTAGTACAAACATTTGCTCTCATTGTATTAAGACAAAGTAGCTGTATGTCCATCCTAACAAATTTGTATATACAGATATATGTATTTTTTTCACTGCAAAATGGTCCTTCATTTATATCCCAATTTTTTGTTTAGTTTTGTCAGAGATAGGTATTCCATTGTCATTCAAATATTGTAGGTGCATAAATTCAGCAAAATAATCCAATATAGTCCAGTAGGTCATCTTAGTAGTGGGTTGTCCACATGACAGGCAATGTCATAAGTTGTTGACTTGAGCCTTTTACAGCTCAACATGTTACTATGGCTTTACTTTTCATACACATGTTTATATTTTTCTGTTGGATGGTTAAGACCAAGATAAAGCAAGACCTATATCACAAAAAAGTAATACTTGAATATAACAAGGTCAGTCAAATCCCATCAGGATTTACCCTGAAACCCTGTAACACAGTTTGTAGATCTTCTGTCAACAGCAGCCACCAGGATGAGTCACTGCAATTGTTTGACCAATTTGCTCCCTTTGAAAGACTGAGAGAATGTTTTCTCACTAGGTGACTCTCCTTAGGCACATTGTACATCATTGATCAGTTTGTTCTGTGCCCCATAGTCTACTTGAACAGAAAATTTGGGACACCACTGAGTTACAGGATATTACAGTACATGTTCTCTTTATGTCCTCAGTCTTCAATAAACTTTAAGGGCCAGGGCACAAATGTTGGCTATCCTTGTAGCCCATCTTTTTCCTTAATGTTTTGGTCTGCAAACTTAAGTTGTTAACCCTCCAGAAGAGAATATGAAAGGTATTATTACCCTGAAACATAGGCAGTTGAGCTTAATATCACTATTTGTTGGAATATGAAATACCTTAGACATAACATGGAACTGGTATTTTTCAATTAAAATTCAAATCCCTACTGAATATGAAAAAAAATAACCAGTTACACATTTTTACAAAGAAATTTAGAAATCTAATCATATACAACATTGTAGCAGGGCAGTCCTATGACATTTTTTTCTTGTGTCTTGTTTTCTTTTATTACCTTTTTTTAAAACAAACATTTACTTCAGAGAAAATATAGCAGTAATTGATATTTTAGAACCAGTATGCATTTAGAAGACCAGAATGACAGACATTCTGAGCATGGCCCTAGTATTATAAATTGCTATCCTCGGTGCACTTCCTTAGCTCACAGGTATCATCATATATAGTTAGTCAGGGTAAAAATCCTACCAATTAAATTCTAGTTTCAAAAATGTGCTAGACATACTCAGGACCATTACCTTAACACCACATTGTGTTGTGTATAAATGTATGGTTTTGCCCCTGCCATGTTTCCTAGCTTTTCTCTTTGCCTCTTTCATTGTTTAATCCTTAAGATCTCACGTTCCATTTAGTTGTGTTATCACTTTCAATTTTTTTTTCTTTGTTTGAGTTCTTACACTAGGGAGACTGATATTTACACATGTGTCTGGTTTATTTCACTTATGAGTATATCTTCAAGTTGCATCCACTTAAATATGAAGTCTTCACATTTATTATTCTTTATAGATGAGTATTGCTCCATTATGTAAAAACTCCACATCTTTTTCATCCAGTCCTCAGGTGGCAGGCTTTTTGGTTGCTTGCAAGATTTGGCTATCACAAAGTGTGGTGCTATAAATACAGGTGCACATATATCGCTATGATAAGACGTTTTCAGTTCCTCTGGGAAAATTCCCAGTAGTTGGGTAACTGGTGTGAATGGGATTTCCAGTGCTATTATTTGAGGAGTCTGCACACTGATTTCCATAATGGTTGCAACAGTTCACACTTCCATCAGCTGTGGAGAAGGGATCTTTTTTCACCGCAGCCACTACATTTGTTGTTGGGTGATTTCTCTATGATAGCCATTCTTTCTGGGGTGAGATGGTATCTCAGTGTTGTTTTAATTTGTATTTCATGGATGGCTAGTGATGTGGAGCATTTTTTCATGAATTCATTGGTTTCTGGAATTTCTTCCTCTGAGAAGTGTATGTTCATCTCAGATGCCCATTTCTGTATTGGGTCTTGAAGTTTTGGGGCCCTAATATTTTTTAGTTCTTTTTAAATTCTAGAGAGACCTTTGTCTTAGTGCTTATTAGTTAAGATTTTTTCCCAGTTTGTGGGTTGTCTTTTCACACTGTTGGTAATTTCTTTGGACATGCAAAAACTTCTCAATAAGAGCCAGTCCCAGTTGTCAGTTCTTTCAAGTATTACCCATGTAGTTTGGTTTTTTTTCATGAACTGTTTGCCTACCCCTATTTCTTGAAGAATTCCTCCTAATTTCTCGTCCAGGAGATTTAGTGTCTCTGTTTTGATGTTTAGATCTTTGGTCCATTTTTACTTTAGCTTAGTGCATGGTGATAGACCTGGACCAAGTTTTAGTTTTTGGCATGTAGAGAGCCAGTTTTTCCAGAACCATTTGT